CAGCAGGAAGTAGGGTTGCAGTTTGCCAATGAATTAAAAATTTACTAATGAGAGCTGAGATAGCAAATGCCCGTCTTGTAGAAAAAACAAGGCTATAAACCCTGACATTTTAGTAACCAGGGTGGATCATATTTTTTTGCTATCCGTTTACGCTCTTTGATCTGCAGTGACCATTGGGTTGTGAAGCTGGAGAGGCTGAGGGCTGAATGTTATTTAAAGTAGCGATGTTTCACTCTAGCCCTTCAATCCGGTTGCCTCCTCATTTATTACCATTTGCTACTGCTTGTGCAGGTGAAGCTCAGCTGGCCAAGCATCATCCCACCGATGCCGTAGGTTGGCCACTCCGGTACAGCAAGCCCAGCCACTGTCTTGGCTCTAGAAGTAACAATCCAAAAGCCTCCAAAATTGTCATGTGAATAATCTATATTACTTGTTTGAGAAGGAGAACTCGGCACGGTTATAGTTTAATTTATTGACATGTTGCCTGATCCTTGGGTATGGTCACTGGAGGCAAACCTGTGCAAGTTAATAGGAATACCCAGCCACGATTTCTCTCCAGAAACCTGGAACAGAGAAAATAGAAGAAAACCAAATGTGAATTATTTTTTTTTTAATTTTTATTTATTTTGTATGTTTTTTTACATTCCACTGATATCTTAACATTTTTCTAATACTGTCCTTTGCTTTGACTGAGAGAGATGAGATAGATGGCTTCTTTGATGTCTCCAGACAGGGTTTGGCTTGATCGTATCTGTGCTGCAGCACAGAGCGCGGAAAAGCATTAGAGGAGAACAAGTGAGACAGAACTGGCAAAGGTCGAACAAATAGGTTCGAGATAAGTTTTTCTGTATTTAGGTATTCATAACCTAAGTACTGAAAACATAATTTAGCATTTTTTTGCTTCAACCTTTGTTGGGGTGGGGGGACAGATGGGAAGGGAATGGGTGACTAGAAAATCTGGTCTGGCAGTCTACGGCAGTAGGTATTGTGTTCTGCTGTTTTAACTCTACCTGAATGCAAGATACAATCTTTGAAATATTTTAAATAGAGAACTGCTTCAGCAAGATGGATTTCTGCATATCATTTACAAAGTATGTTTTTAATGCCTTTCTGAAATCCAAACTTATGCAAAATGGGGCTTGTTATGCATGTCTATGCATTTTAATCTCCTACAGTGATTTGTCAGTTTTCCTTAACATCGCCCTGGCATATTACAGCCATTCTTCAACTTTGCTTCACAGAGCTGCGTTTCTGTCTTAACTCCCTCAGTTCTCCGAGCAAGGAATGAATTGCAATTTAGTTATTGTATGGTAAGGTTTATAAACTGACATGCCTGTTTTCCTTGGATTGGGATCAGTACCAGTTGTGGATTTAAAGACGGGCAAAACCTGAGCATAATTTGAAATACAGTATCTTTTATTTTACGCTTTAGTGTAAGCAGTTGTTACGCGGCTGTCCTGTTAATGTTGTTCTTTCTATTGATTTGTGCTACTCATGTTTTACATTGATAATTGGTTAGTGATTATTTTTTTTTTTGTTTTTCTGCTTGGAATGCCTAAAAATAGCTCAGTTAACCAACGAGTTGATGTGATTTATATATTTATTTATTTATTCTCTTTCCAGATGGGCTTTCTGGCAGAGACCAGCCAGTAGAGCTGTTGAATCCACCTAGAGTGAACCACATGCCTAGCTCTGGTAAGAAAAAAACTTTTATTGAATGTTGTTCCTATTCTGGGAATGCAGTAAAATATTCTGCAACTCTATCTTGCAAGTGGGAGAGCAGAATGCAAATGCAAAATGCTGGAACAAAGTGTGTTAGAACTTGTACTCATCTACTTTCCCAGGCTGGGCGAGTGGGATTTGGGAGTGGAGGAAGGATGGAGCTCAGCAACCTTGGGAGTCCGAAATAGCTCAGCCCTCAGCCTTGGCAGGGGTCTAAGCAGAGCCTACCCTGGTTGGAGCCGCTTGGTTTTCCTTAGAATAGAGAGGACAGCAGAACAAAGCAGCACCTCATGAGTCCTTTCACAACCTAAAAGGAGCACTGCAAAGAAAAGTAGGTTTTTGAGTTGCTGCTCCCATTAAGGAGAAATCTTCTGGTGTTGAAATGAGGAGCCAAGCACAGGCTGATCAAAGCGTAGCATGCTGGGCTCTCGGCTCTTTGCTTTTCCTCCTTCTTCTAATGATCCTGCTACGGTATCTCTTGGGTCTTGTCCTTCTGCTATGAAGGAAGCACAGCAGCTGTAGCATTCGTCCTGGAGACTGACTGCTCCTCGTGGAGCTGGGAGAGACCTTAACGGCTCACAATTGCAGCGCTTCAAGTGATGGAAACCAACGATTTGGTCACAATACCTGAAATGCTATGGAAAGCAATCTGCTGCTGTCTTGTGTGTTTCCCCCTTCTCTCTTCCAAAAGTATTTTGTTTCCAGGTGCAAACAGATAGAGATATTTATACTAGGGATGATAGGATATATGAAGCATTATCTGTTTTCCAGGTAGTAGCTCAACTTTTCAAAAAACCCAACTTTCCCTTCTCTGCTGCCTTCCAACATGCCTTTAGGTCCTTTTATATTAAGGAAGAGATCTCGTAGAAGATCTAAGTGCTTCTGGTAACGCAAGTTGGAAAAATGTAAATGAAGCTTCTTTAGAATAACTTCAGTAGATTAGGGGTGGTGGGGAAATGGGCTGTGACCTAACCTAGATTTTTGTGGACTTAAATGTGTATCTTTGGAAGGAAACTTGCAAGGAGGTAGAGCTGTTGTGTTGGGGGAAAAAAAAAAAGGAAGAGATCCTCCTTTACCAGGTACGAGTGTTTGGCTTTGGATTCTGAGAAATCTCTTTTCCCTCTGTGTGCTCCAAAACTCGTCTGTCAGGTAAGGGAGGTTGTATTTTCCTAACCCCAAGAGAGATTCTCATTTTAAGACTACTGTGGTAACACAGGTCAAGTTAAAGGTTTTACTCCCCATTTCGTATCCGTGTACTAGATTGAATTTTGTGGCTCTGTACAAGAGGAGTCACAGTCCTCATTTCTCTCAGTAGATCAATGGCTGGTGTTGTGAATGTGATGAGTTTTAGTCTTTTACTTTTTTTTGAATTGATTTTGTTGTTGCTTGTTACGTTTAATGTTTTCTTTTGAGAGATTTCAGGACAAAGGCTGATGCTGGTTAATAACTTGGGTAACCTGATGGTTGGGCTTGGTGTACTCTAACTATTTTTCCCCAGATGAAAGGAGGCTTTTTTTTAAGGTGTTATGGACTTATACAGGATTTATGGAATTCGTACTGTTTGTGCTCCATTTTGAGTATTTTTAATAGCTCACCTACTGAAAAAATAAACAGCGAGCCATCACTGGGGAGCTGTGCTGATGCTAAGTGGGCAGGATGCGAGATAGGCAGCGACGTCTCTTTGTCGAATGACTTCTGCCAGCATTTGAGCCATGGGAATTCCTGTCTCGTACTGAAAAGCTCAGGCTGGTTGTGCGTGTAATGGGCGAAGGGTAGGATTGACAGGGAATGAAAATGTGACCTTATGCAAGAAGCAGCATTGGCTACGGACAGTGGTCACCCAGGTACTTTTCACTCGAGACCTTACGCTTATTCAATTTCTGCTAAATTTTGGAGAAATCGCGTCAGCCCTGCTGTGCATACACAGGCTGGAAATGTCTGTCTTTTATTTTGATTTGCAAAACGGTAATTAAAACCTGGAAGCACAGTGGCAAAAAGATGTTTTAAGTGCAAGCAAATATCATAGATCTTGGAAGTCGCTCATCAACTGGCTTTCAAGTGTGGTGCCTGCCTATACTTATGTATCCTGATGGGGTTTTAAAATGACTCTTAAAAGTTACTGTCAGGTTGAGGGAGTTACCCGCTTGGGCAAACCATCGTCATATCTGTTTTTTATCATTATTACCTGTAGGAGTTTGCTGCAGATCCTTCTGAGAGAAGAAAGGAGAAGTAATACCAAGTATTGCTGTGGAAAAACAAGTTATATGTGGGTTTGTGGGGTGTTGTTCCAAGTCTCAGGCATGGCTGAAATAATTGTGTTGAAAAACAGCTTAAGGAAAAAAAATTGCTTAATCATGTCCTGGGATATTCTGTTTAAAACCTTATCCTGCCCTGGTCATGGTAAGGCGACTGATTTGTAGCCCTCATGTGGAATAAACTTGAGCGGACAATGAACCTTTATCCCCAGCCTTGCATTTCTATTGAAGATAAAATCATTGCAGTGTGCTTATAGGAAACCAAAACGTTTTCTCTTCACTGTGAACCATATGAAGGAGAGGTTTGATCCTTGTTGGTTGTTCTTCTCTGATGTAAAAAGGCGAGAAAGAGATGTACAGTACCCAGGTCCTAAACATGCTCTGTCCTGTGGAAGCATCTCAACTACAAAACAGAAATATTTAGAGCATTTTAATGAAATGGTTTTAGGAGTGAATCGGATTGAGTAGAATGGAGTTCAGTCATTAGCAGGGTGTGTTTTTTAGGAAAATGATTTCTATCTTCTTTTTGTATAAATTAAAGATTAATTTGAGGAAGGGAAAGATTTTCTCTTTTAAAAAATGTATCGCCCATAATTGGTGCTTCTGCATTTCTTAGTTGCTTGCAGAAGTAAAACAAGACAAAACCCCCACAACCCACATCTCGCACAGGAATATAATAAGCTGTTTGATAATGCTGCTTTCTCTTTTTCTGGCTTCAGAATATTACTGCGGCTTTGGCCCGAGGGAGGAAAGGGAATAAAGTGTTGAGATTGTTGTGCAACGTTGCTTTTCCTTAACTTTTACCTCCTGAATTTGGAGATCTTCAGAGCAAGGACTACACATTAATTCTTACTTAGTGTTACATGGGAAAATCTCATGATGATTAAGTGGCCACGGTTAGCGGGACAGAAAGCGTCTTGGCTACGTGAGCCTGGTTTTGATGGGTGGCAGGGGATTGTTTGCAAAATGGCGAAGGAATTGTCCCACAAGTTTGCCTACTGGCTTGAAGTATTTTGTCCATTTTAGAGTATTTTTCTTCTTTTTAGCAGTGAACGTAGTTGCAGTCTGCATAAGGGCACTGATTCATGTGTACAGAGCTCTCTTCTCTTACTTTTTTCTTCCTATGCTTTCAAACTGAGAGATGCTATGCCTTTTCCATAGTGCAGAGCTGGGGGGCCAGTCTTAAACACCTCGATTGTGTAAATCCCCAGATATTTTGTAGATAATCCTCTTAAAAACATCACTTGTGTACTGTTGATACCGTCCTCGAGATTAATCAAATAGATCTTCATCATTAAGCCTACTTTGTAGAATGAGCTTTCTTTATAAGACTGTGTTTACAGTACTTTAGATAACTACCTCCTGTAAGTCTTTTCAGTTTTTCTTGTTAGTATAAAGTTTGTAATTGCTCATTTTGTTACAAAACAATCTCAAGGAATTTCTTTAGTATTAGAAATGTGAAAACAGCTTGATATCGATGGTATACAAGTAAAATGCGAGAATTAAATAAGATAGAAACTAGTTTTTCTTAAACTTAAAAGGTTTAAGTAATAAACCTGCAGATTGGGATGACCGGTCTCAGCCGACCAGCCGTGTCTCCCCAATACGCTGGTCATGGCCTAATGTGGAGTTCTGGGGATGTCTGTGTACGGTAAAATTACTGAATTAGGAAAGAAATTCCCCTTCCCATAGCATTTCCATTGGCTTTTCAGGGCTGCATTCCCAAGTCGTGATAAAAGTAATAGTGAAATCATGTAACATTGCTGCAGGTTGGGACATATGCATTGGAGAATACAGATGTATGGAGAGGCTGAGGAAAAGACGCTGGGCTTCTTGCCCCTGAGATGAAGACCTCTCTCTGGTTGCTGTTGCGGAGCTGGTGGAAAGCCCGTGCATGCCTTCATGAGGTTGTTCTCCAGCTGAGCTCTGCAAACCAAACCGGTGGTGGTCTGCGAGGCCATCGTGCACGTCAGAGAAGTGCTCAGTGGTGGTTTTCTGATGAGTTTTTGAGGGCTGACGGTCATCTCCTACAAAATGTGAGGAACTGGTGGGTTAAACAAAGCAGTGGGGTGGCTGCTGCTGAGCAGTTTCTAGAAGAGCAGCTGGGGATGCCCTGGTGGTGGTGATGAGCAGACTGCATGTTCTACATTAGGCTGCCCGAAATGGCTTCGTCACACATGGCTGCCGCTTTGCTCTCCACCCAAGCCACTGCCGCTGGCCACACGGATCTCCTGCCGCCGCGTGTACTGCGATGCTGGTGCTCAGCCTTGGGACGGCTCTTCCCATGGTGCTGGGGCTCTTCTGGATCCGACACGGGCAAGAGCAGCGTGGCAGGGGCAGCCCGAGGGATTATGCATGAGATTTCAGCTCCCTGCTTTTTCTTCTTCCTGGATCTAATTATCCAGTCTTACTTCCACATTCATTTGAAAAAAATATTGATGTATGTATGAATAAATGGTTTGCAAGAGCTTCTGGACTAATATTTTTGCATGATTTTACAGGCTTTTGAAATCAAGAGATTAATCCCCATCTCTAAGATGGTAGTCCAGTTACTCTAACAGAGCCAAGTACTGCGCCTTTGTTAATTTATCTTTTCAAAGGAAGGGAATGCCCTCTCACTGCACCGTGTTTTCTGATACTTGCCTGCTTTCTATAGCGTGTCTGCTTCAAAAGCTCCTTCAGAAAGGTACCAAATCAGCGTGGCGCAGAGGGCTTTGA